GAATTGGCCGTGGGCTACAGGCTGATGAATGTTTTGGGCTCAGAGTGGGGAGATGATGTCATGAGCAGGTTACAAGTCACCTCTGGGCTTCTCCTTCTCCCTTTCCTCTTGCTGCTTGCAATCTAAATATTGAAATCTGTGCAGTGCAGTGAGGCCTCTGGGCAGTGCCACAATGCCAGGAGCGTTTATATTCAATACACAATATTATCACAGAATCTCAGACTGATTTGGGTTGGGAGGGACCTTAAAGCCCATCCAGTCCCACCCTCTACCCTGGGCAGGGACACCTTCAGACCCTCAGCGCTGAACCTGCTGCTCTTAAATCAGGTGCCCCTTTACCTTGGGAAGGGGAGAGTCAAAAAGCTGCAGGAGCTGCCTGCTGGAACCCCTGGGCTCTGCCCTGATGGATCCGCCTCCCTCGCTGCCAGAAAGTTCCCAAGGAGTAATAAATTCCCTCTGGGTCTGCACTGAATGCAGAATTGATCCGGCTGCAGGAGCCAGGGGGAATCAATCCAGCTCGGGCCGGGTGTGCCCTGCACATCCATTGGCTCCCTGGCCCTGCCTCCTCCTGCTCTGGCCTGTGCATGCCACAGCAAAAATTGATTTTTGCATGAAACCAAAAGGTGAACCGTGGCATCAGGCAGCTCAGAGCCATCTGTCTTGTCAGGGCTCCTGTCGGAGGGACGGTTATTTGGAATTATCCACTGATGAAGAGCAGCCAAAGATGTTTCCCTGTGTGCCAGAGAAACTGTCCTTTGTGATTTTTTCCCCCCCAAAACCCCTCTTTCCCCACAGGTTCTCTTTCCCTGAGGTCAGCACACGCAGCACATCCAGTTGCACGTGTGGTGCTCACGTGTTTTCCTGCTGAATCATTCCCAAAAAAATCATTCCCAAGCACCTGCAACATCCCCCCCCCCTCACACACACAGGAGGAATTGCAGCTCCCCAGAGCCAGGGATGCCACCAGAGATGTCCTTTAAACTCACCCAATCCAATGATCCACTGGAAGAAAGCAACAGATGCTGAGTCATCACCCAGCACTTCTGTACCACTGTGTCCACCCAAAAAAGCTGTGAATGGTTGGCTTTCCTTAGCTGGGGAAGGAGGGGAGGACAGGAGGGTATCCAAAAATCCAGGGGGAGAGTTAAAGTAGTTTTGGTAACCTCTGCAGTATGTTTTTAGCACCGGTATGTCTTTGAGTGTGTATATATATGTATGTATATATTTATTTTTATATTTTCCCCCTTGTATTTTTCGTGTTAATCTGACTCAGTTCCTGGCTTTTGCTTGTCTTGCTGTTATTTTTACCCCCTGCTGCAGTCTGCAGGCAGGTTCTCAGCTCAGAGGGCATGTCAGAATCGTGCCACATAGACTGCCCTGAAGTCAAAAGAAAAAAAGAGAGAAATTACATGATATCCTCCTTAACTTCACAAATGTTCGCTATACCTCGAAAAAATCGGAGGTTTTTTTGGAAGAGATTCAACCCCCAGCCTGCAAACTGCATCTTCCCTTTCTCACTCCAATATTGTCTCACTACTGGAGAGCCTCTGTTTGGAGCAGAGATTACAAAGCCCCACAAACCCTCTTCCACCCCCGAAGAATCACCCAACCCAAACTAATACTTTAATGACTCCTTTTCCTCCCAAGGAAGCAAATTCAGGCACGCACACACACACACACACACACAC